ATTCGAACAGTCATCTGCTCAATGGCCTAACAAGCAAAATCATAAACAGATAAAAATTCCCAGTGATTGTCGAAATCTAATTTGATGAAGGCTTAAAATATTTTTGTTTCAAATGCTTGATTCTATACACAAATTGTATTTTAACATATATATAGCAACAGTACTTMTAACAGATTTTTWCGTCTCTGCTGATAATGACCTACCAATATTACAACAGCGATYGTCTTCAAAAGAGTCTTGATTTCACGTTGCTCGCTTTTAGGTTTTTCTAGRCTGGTGAAGTGCTGAGGAAACCAGCCCTTTTCGTCCATGTTTTTATCAACAGAATTTTCTCTTGATTGTGTATTCTTAGCCATAATAAGCGACACAGGTGAAAACAGTACCACCGTCTCTATTCGGATTGATTTAAAAGGTCAAAGGCTAAAGAAACTATAGGAATGTACGATAATATCGGCTGCGAATAATASTGTTCTAAAGGAGGATACGAATTTAATACCAATGGAGATAAAACGGAATCATTCAGGAATCATTCAGACAGCTYATCGGAAATAGATAAAACAATAGAAAGTGTGCAGGAAAAAAACAAACTAACTAACTAACAAAAATATGAAAAAAAAAATAAAAAAAATAAGTCGATAAGAATTCATTGCATGAAACCAAATCTTTAAAATAACAGTTGTAAACATAATGATATTTTTACTTTRCAAAATAACACTCTCAATGGGCATATTCGAAAATTGATTAAAATTGAAAACCACAGTATTCGGTTTAACAAGGTCGAGTCTTAAAGTATCTCCATTCATATAGTATAAAGAGTAAGTTTTTGCTTCAGTACGACGTATTTTTATTTTCAACCATGAGCAAAAACTCGAAATGATGGGACATGTCCGGTTTAAATAAGGGTGGTGAGCGATTATATAAAAATACTTTTTTTGCGATCGAGCGTGAGTAAAATCAGCGAATCGGCGATCGTTCACGCAGGGTCTGAATGGGGGGGTATCAATGTCGGTAGTCAGCTAAAATTTCAAGCATTTGTCGGTAGTCAGTTACAATTCTAGGCATTTGTCGGTTGTCGGTTATTTAAAAAAGGTTGATAAACTATAAGTTTGAATGCATCTAAAACAGTGCGTTTTGTCAACAGAATGCTTTCTAAAATGCCAACAATTGAATCCTTGAGTCTTGATTGGTCAATTGGATCCCACTCAAAGTTTTAGATTGGCTCATCAAAACTTAAAGAAACCAATCTGAAGCAAAATTTATTTTTCCGCTGAAAATTTCGAATGTAGTTGCTTGAACAATACAAAAAACTTGTATCCAAGAAGCTAATATCTTTGATTATTGCCTAAAAATACTTATTTTAAGGAAAATGTCGCCAGTCAGTAAATATGTTCTAGTCGGTAGTCAGTAAATTTTGTTCAAATTTGTCGCTAGTCATTTGTTATTTTGTCCATTTGTCGCTAGTCGGTTAACCCCATTCAGACCCTGTTCACGATCATATGGTCTCATATGGAAACCATTGGTTTTAGGAATTTAGAAACCTAGGAARCGTTAACAGACAAAATATAAACAATGAGGCTTTATTTTGTATTTTAATCCATTCCTATGCAGCAAAATTTCATGATCTTGACGACGTTTTTGTTATTGTTAGATTTCATGTTTTCAGGTTACGTCACAGCGGCCATCTTGAAGGAACTTTAATCAAGGATTTCTCATTAGAATCKATTGTTCATTCMACCAGTTGGTATATACATCGACGAGTTTCTTAAATGCCATCAAATAAAATACCCCGAAGGCATAGACTGACAAATTGAGKTTAACTTTCACTAGGTTAACATTCGAGTTCATGACGGACAAGGGGAGTCTATGTAAATTATAATATATCTATATCGAGAACTGTTATCATGTCTGTCAGTTTGTCTCAATTTGGTATTGGTGGGCTACTTGTGCCTGACCAACCTCGTTCCCAGGCCCTTATCCCTTCGCTTTGGGTCAGGCGAGAAAAGGCCCTGTATTGTGACACTGATGCTGTCATCCCTGTAAAATTCATGTGACCGCTATTTGCGCGTCTGGTCACTCCTTTTCAAAGGAAAAAAAGGTTGGTGCTGCCATGCAAGTTTCATCGAGGCATCTATACGACCTTTATGACAGGGCGCCAAGAAACCTTTTAACACGTTAATTAAAAGYCTCTCAGTTCTGAACAATAGACACTTTGCAAAAATGGCTGCCTGTCAAAAGCTTTTTTTTCTGAACACTGGAATACTATAAGAATATGCTTTACTTAGAAAGTGTTGGAAATTCGTTGGTTATAAGTAATATAAAGCTATCATGATCATTTAAAAATTCCGCACGTGTTTGACTTGTAGTCTTCTAATTGACGTCATAAAGTGTTCAAAATTACGTGAAACSAACGTTGTATAACTGATTGTTGAAATAATTGTCAAAATTGTCGACGTGAACAAATCATTGAGTAAGTTAATTATGATTGTCGCAGTAGTGAAATAGAACAATATCTATTCTAAGTAATTGCTAATAAATGAATCGCCCTCCCAAAAAAATCTTCAACTGGTATCACTAGAAAAAATCGCGCGCTTTAAAGGTTGTACATATGATGTAAATATGACGTAAGTGTCCAAAATTCTGTGATGGAAATTATTTACATCAAATTTACAGAATTTTAGACACTTACATCATATTTACATCGAATTTTATAAAGTGCGCGATTTTTTTCCAGTGTATCTTAAATTGATTCCTCCTAAGCAGGCAACAAGTGCTTCATTTCGCCATTTTGGGATCCTTCTGMCGGCTAACAGTATCTTTCGGTCATATTGAGGAAGACAGTTCGATCAAGAGTAGAACTAAGGGCGAAAAGGAAGAGACGAGCCTGGGGAGGAGTCTCTGCACACCCAATGAAATCTAGCGCCGGTTTCATAGCTCAGTTGGCAGAGGTCATGGGTTCGATTCTCACTTGAATACCGAAATTTTCGGGCGATCCATTTATTAACAAATGTTCGGTCGACAGTTCATGATGTTTTACTGCGACGGCAGTAATTCACGTACAAACGATTGATTGATGGAACGATCAATTGATCGATTAGTTGGTTTGTTGGCTCAGGATTTTGACCCCAATTATACATATTTTAATTGGTTTATTGTTTGGACGCTARTAGAAAGAATAGGAAATAAATAACAGAAAGCAGATAATACAAATCTGTGCACATTGATGAGACGATAATTGACGAGAGTCATATTGACATATCTTAGCAATAAGACGCTTACACGACCGCAACATTGTAATAATGACCTTTAGGTCGCCACTGGATTAAAGTATGTCATTCATGCACTAGAGAATGATACAACARAACGAAAATTTGGATTAGTCATGGCGAATATATATCTTACAATTAGTAGGGATATGATTTCGTATTTTCGAAAAAACAGCTCTGATTTCAAGTGATGAAGTTGCATTCACAGATTAACACACATCTGGCATTCAAGCCGGCACTAGACTGCAACAATTTGAAACATTATTCATCATAACTGATCGACAGAATTTGCATTTTAGAGCATGCAATAATGCGTTAATATACTGYCAATACATTAATAACGAAATAAACTGATAGAATAATGATAAAAGTCCATAACCTACCCAGAAAAAGAAGTTAAACATGGCCAATGGTATCCTTAGGCAGTCCATGTTAACGAGAGCACGCTTTTGCTTTTTGAGCTGTAATTGMTTTGTGTCATCCATACTTTATAAAAGARATRTTCCCTACAGTGCAATCCTTGTAACCAATACTGCTGTGTRGCTGTTTGATCTGACTGTTTTGYAGACCCGCGCCAAGACCGTCTGTAATCGTCTCTCTATGGAATGAATGAAATGTAAATGAATTTGTAACACTACTCTATGAAATTGTAATCAAAGTAGGTTAACAGAAAGGATGATCAAGCACAAAAACGTTGAAAATGCACAGCATGAAAAAATGCCTAATCAAAGAGACGCTTTTCAAGAAATTAAAAACTTACGCGGTAAAACTATCCTGCATGAGAGAAGATAACGTTTTCACTAAGATCCCCCTCCCCACCCCACCCCCATAATTTTTCCGCCCTTTTGAATTTTCTAAAGTAAAGAATCGAARAGCCTCCTTATTAAGTTTCACTTTTCATTCTATAAAGATGGAGTAAACATTTTTCGTAAATAATAAGTCTTTGAGATTTTTTTGAATATCGTGTGTATGTGCGGTTTCAGCGGTCAGAATAAGAGGGTCTCAATGGGGTGGTTCGCATCACGACTCACGGCTAAAAATTTGGCGATTTCACGACTCACGACTTATTTTTTCGAATCACGGTTAACTAGATTACTTTCAGAAATTTTGAATTACTTTTTTCATTACTTCATAAGTGTCGCTTTTCGCATTGATGTATTCTATTCCGGGCTAAATGTGCATGGTAAAATCAGGAAGTGTGCAGCGTATTCATATTATTATTTGACTCTAAACAAAATTATAGTATTTTAAAATCGAGCAGATTTAGTTTCTTGTCACACTTAGCGTGACGCAGGCACTAAATGAGTGGGAGCTTTAAAATGTACAAAACAAATCCCAAAAATACTATCTAAGAAAGAAAAAACCTTTTATAACTAATTATAGTATTTTAAAATCGATATCTTATCTAATTACAGAAAATGTCCGTACTATTATACGTTTAATGAAAAAAAGTCAATGAAAGCGCGCTTTATGATATCACATTATAGAAATAATTACTAAATGATTCTGCAGATATTGCAAACAAACATTAATKTAGGAAGCTAATCAAAGACAACAACAAAAAGAAAAAAACAGAAATATGAAAAAAGAAAAAAACTTGAGTCGTGGGATTCGAACCCATGACCATAAAATCGAAAAAAGGTTGGGACGATTCCCCCGAGACATTCTGTGAAGCTGAGGCGGCGAATCGATTTACATTCCGGTTAGAGATTTCGGCTCTTCCATGCTATCCCGATAATTGGTCCTAACTTCGCGCTAACTAAAAAGCCAGTGAGGGAGAAGCTATCCGGCCCCTAGACACTGATGGATAACCCCTTGCACTAACTAGGCAACTATCGAAAGTATAATGTCAAATTGGGGTAGTCTATTCGGTGAAAGTGCCAAGTGGTCTATTATTATGTAAATGAGAGTGGTCCAGTGGCGCACCGCGTTAAGGCGCTGCTTGCAAATCCAACGTAGGTTTGACGGTAGCGGGATCGATTCCCTGGACGAGATGTTTACTGTTTGTTCCGTGATTTTCATTTCTATTTTATTTATTGTTTATCTTCTTTTTTTATTTATTTATTTATTTATTTATTTATTCTGCAGAATTATTGTCATCTCTTGTGTTTGGCACTTTCCCGAGAACCGATGTACTAACATACTAAATGAGTGCTAGTTTTGTTTTGGAGATTTGTCTGTACAATTGTACCGCTAATTTAGGAGGGTCTCAACGGGGTGGTACGCATCACTACTAAAAATTTGGCGATTTCACGACTCACGCCTCGAATCATGGTTAACTAGATAACTTTCAGAAATTTTTGAAATACGTTTTTCATTACTTTTTCATAATTTCTTTTTTGCTAGAGTGTGGGAGCACAGTGTCCCCTTGTACGTTATAGACACTTAGTTATCATAACTTTTTATAATCACTCTCACATGTCAAATTTTGTCCGTGCCCTGACTTGTCTGCAGGACCTTGTAATTACTGCCTTGTTGTCAGGTGCGATCCATTAGAATTTTGAGGGGGTTGGAGGTGGAAGAGTGAAAGATTTAGGGAAAACAATTCCTGAACGGACCGCCGGGGCCGAAAAGAAAAAAATGAAAAAATCTCCACTAAAGCTTTTATTACGTGGGCTTCCTGTGGAAGCCCACGTCTTAAAATGCAACTGGCGTTTTCGTCGTGGTGGTGAATATTACGCTTCAAATTGGTAGCGCATTGATAGCGCATGCGTTACAGTCTCAGTCTCTTCCACGGAGATGTCAAAATAGACCAATCAGCGATTTTTGGTAGCGCCTGCGTTGCATATGGACTGCAGTCGACTCAGAATGAAAACAAAATGGCTGACAGACGGCGACAAAAAGTTGTCTCGTTTCAAATGGTTCTAAAATGTAGTTAAAATGCTCTAAAGAGCTGAAAATCTTACAAAATCAACTGATTACCATCCAAACGACATGGATTGAGGTATATAATTCAAGATTAGCGGATGATTCGTGCAGAAATGACTGGGAATTTTCTACCGCGACTCGAAGAGCACTACTTCTTCGTCACACAAGTGTTCGATGTCAAACACAAAATCTTCAAAAATAAGAAATCACATGGATATTTTTAAAAGGTTCATACTTTGACAGAAAACAATCATTCGATGGAAGAAAGCATATCAAACCTCATCTGAAAAATATTGATGCCATTTTCTAAACTAACGATGTGTTTGAAGTTCGGAAAACTGCACGTGTGAGCTTTACTGAACTCGGTATACAAAATCTATATTGTGTATGAAGCATTTTAATTCTCTATATTGTTTGTTTTGATGATTGTTTAACTTGAAAAACTTAGACAAATCCAAAAATACGAACTGTCATTAGAAGGCTAAGGTACACCAGATTTACAAATAAATGAAAAACACCAAATAAAAAATAACAGAAACACAAGATACAGATACATGATTAAAATGATCAAAATATTATTCAAAGTTATACTGCCAAGACTGTACCGTTTCTATTGTTTATGTGAACTATATGACCTATCAGATATTTTGAATAATATAGACGCTCTTGAGCGTTAAGTCGAGCTAGTTATTTTGGAAAACTGAGAAAGACATGGTATCCAAAGAATTTACTTAGAGTTCAGTTCGGTAAAAAACTATGATGTAATAAATTGATAACATATTAACTTAATTCTGTCTTGACTTATTACAAACAAAGACTATATTGTGAAAATGAAACACCATTGTCACAGGAAGCCCACGTAAGCGATCCATGATCGTCTAGTTTTTTTAAATTTACAAAATTACAAGCGCGCGCCTGTATCGGAGTTGACTGTCCCACTGAGTGACAAAACTGATTCACGGCTCACGCTATAAAAAAATTATATTCACGCCTCACAGCTAATTTTTTCTCATTTTCACGACTCACGGCTAATTTTTCAGCCGTTTCACGGCTCACGGTTAACCACCCCATTGAGACCCTCTAATAATGGTTTGGATAACGCCTCAAAAAGCTGGAAATGACATTTCCGAGAGTTAAGATTTCAGGACCTCTCTTGTACCTCATGCCTTCGGCAGCCACTAGAGCCCACCCCGACAAATTCCTGCTCCGCGGTCCCTGGCACTGTGTTGTTATGCTTACGAGGATTGAGAATACAATCAATGACTTACAAATTGAGAATGGACTATCTGGTCTTTATTTATTTTACATCTATAGGTTTACTCTTTTTTACTTTCTTTTATATTCTCGCTGTATTCTTACTATCAAAATATTGTATTTTATTATATGACTTGGATAGTACACGCGTTCTGATTGGCTCACGCGAGGGCGATATCTTGCAATCTCCGACCGATTACCATGACAATCGCCCGAAAGTCATATCCCGAACGCCCGTTTGTTGACATTTTTCAAGGCGCGAGATTTGATTTTTTTGAACTGAATTTGAGAATAACTATACGAGAAGCAAGCAAAGAAAAATTAAGAATGACGAGGAAGAATATTTTTCAAGCGAATTTTATTATTCTGACATGCATGAAAACGCCACATTCGAAGCGAAGTTCAAACTCCGAGCCAAGGAGTTGTTGTTTTGACAGTTTTTGTAGAAAACTAGAAGACGAAATCACAATAAGAAAAACAATGTCTAATATAAACATTTTATACAAGTATTTTTTAGCCTCCTCCGCAGGCATCACTAAGAATCACGGGCTTCCTGTCTTTTTGAGGAGTCAAAAGAGGGAGAATGGGGACGAGAGAAGGGTTTTTGCTATCTCGTCACTAGTCCCTAACGGCCAAAATACCCGTTGCAAAGGAAGCCCAAAGGAGGAAAAAAGAGTTGCCTGTGGAGGAGGCTAACTAAGAGTCAACAGCTTTCCGCGATGGAGTGCTATCAGATCATTCAGTTCATGAAAACAATCGCTTTCAAAGCAGATTTCAAAGAAGCATGCAGCGACAACTTGAAGAGGATGGCTCCATGCAAACTAAACATCCTCAAAGACAAGAAAAAAAAAACAGTAAAAAACTAGATAAGATAAGAACGAGATATGACCTTTATTGACTTTTGTGACTTTTTTAAGGTACCTTGTATTGTACTACTGTGCATCGTTCAGTCACATGCTAGCGAGCCCCCATTGTTGAAAACGAATATTCGCCTTTACATTGAGGAGATTGGGCACTAGTGATTCAAGCTTAGAGTTTGATAGGTGATAAATTAATTGATATCATGAAATAGACAGTAAGTGTGTTTATACTGTGCAAAAACAGAATTATTGTTGATGTAATGTATCATAAAATGTATTGTATTCCATTGTTTCTCGTTCTATTGTATTATGTGTTTTGTATTATATCTTTATGAATATATTACATCAACTGAGTGCTACGTAGGCTCTCCCTATTGGCCATTCCGGAGTTGCGCAGGGGACTGGGTACTAATYAAAGAAATATTGATCTAATCACGAAACAAACCCCACCCAATGAAAGGACACCCAAAAATTAGTAAATATACCAAGTTTCAAAACGTTTGGATGAAAACTAGCTGAACAGTATTCAATCCTAGTTTTATCAAATTAAGAGAGAATGTATTGTTTTGGGGAACGCGGTCAAAATCCCCATACATTC